CCATCTGGGAATTCTTGGTACCCAGTTATCTTATGGCCTTGTAAGGGAGTAAATGCTGGTGGCTGGTAAATTCCAGGCACTAAGTCATAGTAGTAGCCTTGGTCAGTTTCTGGGCTATACTTCTTTGCTAATTTTTAAGTCTTTCACAGTCTGGTCCATTTTATCAGATAGGTAAATCAATTTGTTTTTTAATGCCTTTGTATGATATTAATCGACTACCATTTGACTCTTCACTGTAGGCTTATGTATTTTTCAAGACAGGGCCCCACTGTGTAGCTCTAGATGGCCTGGAACTCACTCTGTTCACCAGGCTAGCCTCTGCTTCCCACTGGACATGTGCTACCATACCTGGCTCCTACTTTCTTTTCTGTGTTTGGTAATTTGAGTCTCTTTTTCTTGGTTCATGCATCTATTATTTTATGAGTGCTCTTCTTTTGAGGCAGTTGAGACTGGGAAGCAGCTCCGTGGTAAAGCAAGGCTCTGGGTTCCATCTTCAGCTTGAGATAGGTAACTCTCAGGCTGTCCTGGAACTCACTCTGTAGACGAAGCTGGCCTTGAACTCAGAGATACCCCTATTTCTGAGTGCTGGGATAAAAGGCATGCACCACCATTGCTGGGCCCAATTTTCCTTCTTTTGCTGCTTTCTGATTTCCCTGTGTTATGACCAGAAAAGACACTGTGTATAAGAACTATCTTGGGGGCTAGAGAGATCTCATAACCACTTGCAACTGCAGCTCCAGGGATACCTGACACCTCTGGCCTCCATGGCACCTGCATATATCACACACATACACATAATAAAAATGAAGAGCACCGGTGTTCTTCCAGAAGACTTGGGTTTGATTCCTATCACCTACATGGCCACACTCATAACCATCTGCATCTCCAGAGTTCCAGGGTTCCAAACATCCTCTTCTGGCCTCTGCAGGCACTAGGTGCACAAGTGATGCAGGTAAAACAGCCATCCACATAAAAGCTTTAAAAAAAAAGCTATTTCTCCTGGCTATCTTTGAGCTTATTAAAATATGGCATTGTGCCTTATAAATTATTTTTGTGTGTGTATGCATGCTTGCATGCAGACATGTGTGACACAGTGTGTGTGTGGTCAGAGGACAACTTCCCAGTAAATTCTTTTTTACTACTTTGTTTTGAGGAAGGGTCCGTGATTTCTGGGGCTGCACTATGTACTTAGTCCAGGGGAGCAATTCTCTTGTCTCCACCCCACATCTCCCAGCATGGAATCATAGACACATGCTACCACACTTGGCTTTGATCCGGTTCTGAGAATCAAACTTTAGTTATCAGGCTTGCTCTTGCTCAGCTTTTTACCCATTAAGCCACCTCCTCAGTCCCACTGTTAACTTTCTTGAAGTATACTTTTGCTTGGTCAATATGGCATGTCAGGCTGGGGAGATGGCTCAGTTGATAAAATTGCCTGCTGCGTAAGCAAGATTACCTGGGTCTTTAGCACCACACAAAACTCCAAGGGGCAGACTGCTGGCCAGCCAGCACAGCTGAATCAGCAGCTCCATGTTCAATGAGATACCCTGCCTCCAAGAAAGCAAACAGATCCACCCACCCCAAACATAAGGTGAAGGATGTCAACTTCTGACCCCACCACTCTTGGTCACTTCCAATTAAATATTTGTGTGGATTTTCTTTTTGATCCTTACACGCTCATTTATGTCTCAAAACCTAATGGGAGTCATATAACTAGCTCACTGTTGTTATCCATTAAAATCTGTCTTTTGACTGGAGACTTTAAACCCACTTTTTCCACCTGAAGTACTTGCTGGTAAGGGGCACTTAAGTCTTGCTATTTTTCTACGTTCCTTAAAGCCCACTCCCTGAATTTTCTTTTAAGATTTTTTTTTTATTTATTATGTATACAACATTCTGCTTCCATGTATATCTGCACACCAGAAGAGGGCACCAGATCTCCTTTTTGGATGGTTGTGAGCCACCATGTGGTTGCTGGGAATTGAACTCAGGACCTCTGGAAGAGCAGTCGGTGCTCTTAACCTCTGAGCCATTTCTCCAGCCCCCCACCCCCATTTTCTTTTACAGTTAGTTTTCACAGTAAAATGTTAAAAACCACCTTTCTGCCAGGTAGCAGCGGCGGCACACACCCTTAATCCCAGCACTGGGGAGGTAAGAGGCCAGCCTGGTCTACAGAGCAGGTTCTGGGACAGACAGGCTCCTAAGTTAGAAACCCTTTCATTCTAGTATAACTGATCCATACTTTCACTTTTAGGAGACTTACTTGGCTATTGTTAATGTGCACACCATACAATGCAATGGGTACAATTGTGTCAGGGTACCTTGCACCCATTCATGTTGAAGCCCTAACCCCCACACATGAGGTTCTTTGGTGGAACCTTTGGGTTGCTTGTGAGCTTTTCAGTAAAATAAAATCCTGAAACCCGGATTGGTAGAGTGCTTACTTAGCAGTATACAAGCACAAGACCCTGAGGTTCAATGCCCAGCACTCTCCCTAACCCTATCTATCCTTAGATGAACATAGCTATTTCAAGTTTCTGTTCATGACTTTTGGCCCTCTTCCCCTTACTTCCGGGTCTGTGGTCAGCCAGCCAGTCATATCAGAAGCATATAGAACAAAGGTGCTTCCTTCATGGCTGAAGCCTCAAGCTCACAACTCTTGAGGGCATGTCCCTTAGTAAAATGAGACCTCCCACCAAAATATCCCCAGTTCTATTGGCAAGCAAGCTGATAACATAGGGGCCTTTGGGATATATTCCAGAGCCAAGTCACAGCAGGAAGCCATTCTGCTTAGATGAGGTCATAAGGGTGGGGCCCTCATAATGGGAGTGGCTCCTCCCTGCCTTGTTGACAGAGCAGGAAGGTAACCTTTCTTGTAACTGCAAGCCATATCACAAGACTAAAACTGACTTGCCAATCTTCACATCGGCTGCTTAGGCCCCCAGGTCTATACCAGTTACATTACTCATCTTCCCTCCCTTGCAGCTACAGCCATTAACCCATCCACTGCCAAACTAACTCAAGGCTATCATTTTCAACACATTTGATAATTTGTTTTGAACTCAGCAGACAAAGCATAAACCTTCCTGCCCTCACATGGCTTATCTTCTACTTGGGAAAGACAGGAAAATAAAGTAGCAAGGCAGGAATCCAGACAACTAGGAGAGCTTATACACAGAGGGAGGATGCCACTTTTAAGCACATCAGTAAGGAATAAACTTCTAAACCACAGGCTTTAAAAAACTGAGGGAGAAAGTCATTTGGCTATCTTCAGTAACTGTTACAGCCAAGAGGAAATGTATGAAAGCTTTGTGGTGGGGACATTTCAGGAAAAGGAAACTGGAACAAAACAGTGAACATGAGTCTCCTGTAAGACACTGGCCTCTGCAAAGTTAGAGACTAGCTTTTTGCTTTCAGATAGAGGTGTCCTGGCTGGTCTGGGGCTATGTAGATCCTCCTGCCAGTCTCCTGAATGCACCACCAAACCCTGCTAAAGTGGGAAACATGCAGTAGAGAACTTACCAGATGACTAGTCCTTTGGGTGTCAGTGTTGTGGACCTGATTAAAGGCATGTGTGAGCATGCCCAGCCACACATTTTTACTCACTTAACTTCATTCAGATCATTTATGTCCTTAGCCTCAAGTTTCTAACAGAACCATTAACTTGCCACATCTGTCAGACACCCATGAACCAACCTCAAGTCCAAGCTGGTCCCTCCCTGACACCAGGCACCACTCATCCAAAGATGGGTTGACAACCACCCCCGAATCCAGAGGCATTTTTACAATTCTAACCCCTGGGCCATTTTCCTTTCCAACCTCGATCATATTTGCTAATTTTTAGCACTTCCTCACAATTTGTGACAAACCAGAATTCACTGAGTGTAGGGAGTCACAATCCAAAGAATGTCCTCATTATATTGACATGGGAAAACCAAATACTAGGTAGGACCTTTCGTTAGCAGACCAGATAAAAAGGGCAGATTGCTTTCCTTGGTTTTCCCTATTGCTGCTGAGTTGATTTGCTCTGCTGCTTGTTGATTTCTTTCCAGCTTCTAGAAGCAGTACTTGCAAGCTTCCACTTTGGAATGACGACATATAGCTCACTTTCCAGGTTCTCGGCAGGAGGTAAGGTTGCTAAAGCACCTATCTTCAAGGATTGAGCAACTACCAGATTCTATTGTCATTCAGTTATTGTTGCTATTTTAATATAAAAAATGACCTGATAAATTCTTTAATGCTTATATAGCAATCTCATGGCTTCTCTAGAAAACTGGTTTATACAGGCATCTACACATTCACATTAGGTTTTAACTAAATAGTCTCCATTACTGATACATTCACAACAGTCATTTTTTCGCTGCACTCTTGACAATACTATTTTCAGAACACTAACACACCCTTACCATATTTAGTAAGGATAGGTATGACCGATCGATTCTGATTAGTTTCTTCTACAAAGAAATGATCTCAGCTGGGCGGTGGTAGCACACACCTTTAATCCCAGCATGTGGGAGGCAGAGGCAGGCTGATCTCTGAGTTCCAAGCCAGCCTAGTCTACAGAGCTACAGAGAAACCCTGTCTTTAAAAACCAAAAAGAAATGGTCCCAAGTTTGTTAGACTTGGTTGACAAAGAGCACCCACTATTCCCCATCCCAAATTCTCTAATGCAGTATCTTATATTCTATGGAGCTTTTATAGAGGGAAACATCACTTGGACTTTCAACAGCACTGCAAAACTCCTCTACCCTTTTACTTTGCAGCAAAAGAAACCTTTCCATCTCCAGACTCCACAGCTGATGTCTTACATAGAGCATTCTGGACAGACTAACTCACTTATACATAAAAATGGACAACTAGCTGATTAAGCACCCAGATAAAGACTCTGATCTTAAGAAAGTGTCCCTTTGGGGGGAGGACACCCATTTGTAAACCGCTTCACTCTAAAAATCGTGAAAATGGGAGGAAATTACCAAATTATGACAAAACTAGACAGACACTATTATTTAAGACCTTTATTAACAGATGCTTGCAGTTTGTTAATTTTTTTTTGAAAAAATCAAGTTGTAAACTTTTATTACAAATTAAAAATGAAGTTCTTAAAAATCTCAACTTGACCAGATATGAAACAATTTAAAAACCATTAAAGGTGTATTGAGAAAAACCAGACCTTTTTTTTTTTTAAAAAACACGTTTGTCATTACCAAAAAGAGACATCTTTAGGTAAAAATAATAAAAACCCCATGCTGCATAGATAATGCAGATAGTTCTAGTGTATCTGGTCAACGGGCAAAAAGCAAGCACTTAAGGTCTTCAGCTCCAATCTTTGTTCATTTCTTATTGCTGGAATTTCATATTCATTTCTTCTTGTTGGATGACCAAACTGCAAAGAGAAAGACTCATTATTTACCATATTCTTCACATAGTGGACCAATCAGTCACATTTTAACTACCTCATTTTGCTTTAGCCTAAGAATGATTCATAACAGGAGTGGACATTACTGCATATGGATGATCTTTTGCTACTCAGCACATACAAAGGGGAAGAAAATGACAAGCCCAGAGCCAGAGATACTTTCTTCTCTTTTCTTGCTTGCCCCCCCCCCCCCCCCCCCCCCCCCCCGCGTAGCCTTGGCCGTCTTGGAACTCAGATCCCCCTGTCTCTGCCTCCCAAGTGCTGTGATGAACGGTGTGTGCCACCACTGACAGGCTGAATTTAGTCTTTTATCGGCAAGTAAAGCCAAATGGAAGCTAGGCTTGGAGGATTTAAGGCTGGCTTCAAATTCAGAGATCTGCCTGCCTCTGCTTCTAGTGCTGGAATATATCTCCAGAGAACCAGGAGCAAGACTTAGTTTTCTGCTAAGATCACAGAGTTGACCGACAGACATAAGTTCATAGTCAAAACATACAACATGAAGACTGATCTAAAGGGAGACATTTTGTCTAACTTGGATTAGAGTGAACAGTAATAAAGTGCTTGTTTTACTCTATTACTGTTTTTAGTTTCTTTTGCACCAGTGCACAGTGCAGTGAACCGCAGAGGATGACTACTTACCCGGATGATGGTAGAGATGGTAAGCCGGCATTTACTCAGCCCCGCCCTGCTCAGCCTCGGGAGCGGACGAATTCTCAGCTGGTGGATCGGCTGCTTTTGTCTCTTTGCCATCTTGTGGTTTAGGGTTCTCTGGGCGTCTGCGTCGGTAATTGAAGTTGCGGCGATACCGACGTTGAGGTGGTTGCTGACCCTGGGTCTCATCTCCTTGATTTTCCTTGTCTTCTTCATTGCCGTCCTCTCTAGGCTGTCTTTGGCGAGGAGGGCCCCTGAAATGAACATTATATAACTTCAAGAGTGATAATACTTGGTACTTGGTTATACCTACCATTTTCTTTTATTGGTTGTTCTGACAGCTTAGCAAATGTAAATTACTTCCAAAAGCCAAGTGTAAAAGATTCTGTATAAAAGGTGTATTTCTTCATTTCATTCATATAAACCAAGGCCAGTAAAGCTGAGCTTGCTGCTTAAATGCTTGGAATTGAGTGCTGGTGCACTCAATTCAATACTTTTTTTACTCAACTTATTTTCTTGCTAGTAACTATTGTTCTATTGTATGTTCTAATCTATCATTTCTATTTATCATACACTAAAATTCTTGACCACACATTTTCTTCTTAACTCCATTCCATCAAAAGGATCCATACTTTCTATCCATGTGTCTTAAGATTTGTGGCATGGTTGGAAAATCATACCCTTTGTGCAAACTTAAAAAAATTACTATAAAATTAATTCAAGGGGCTGTAGAGAGAGATAGCTCTGCAGTTAAAAATACTTGTTCAGAGGACCAGTGTTTGATTCTTAGCACCAACATGGTGACTAGCAACCACCCCTAACTCCTCAGAACCATCCAGTTTCAGGGGAACCCACAACCTCTTCTGACTTCCACAGGCACCAGATATAATACATTCAGGCAAAACATTCACACACATACAGAACATTAGCTGTAACAAATCAAGGAACAAAAGCCTATGTAAGGAAGCAATCAGAGTGTTTCTCTGTAGTTTTGGCTATACTGGAACTCACTCTATGGATCAAGGTGTCCCTCACAGCCTCAAACTCAGATTTGCCTGCCTTCTATGCCTGGGATTAAAAGCCAGAAACACCACCACCTGGCAGTATCTCTAACTTAAACCACCACCAAAATATATTTGCTCAAGATACTAGTGAAACTAGCAAGAGATTTAAGCTACACTCGCACACCCAAGATTCTGTTGTTGACAACTATAGACTAATATATACTGATAGGAGAGCATGCTTTACGTTTTATACTTAGGCTATGGCAATGGGTGTAGCACTGAAGAATTTCCAAATCATTAAAAACATTAAGTCATCAACATTAAAAACAGAAAGAATTCAGCACAAGGACAACACAATCAAATCATATTCACCAGGGAGTAGTCCAGATGCCCCAGTGGTCCCCAAGCACCCACAATTCATGTTCGTAACATCAATTCCAGAACATCAGATGCTTTCTGGACACCATCATACATGTGTTACACGCAGGTAATGTTTCAAATAAAATCAATCTAAAAGTTAACCAAGAAAAGGTTCCTAATTCATCTGAATTAAAAACACAGGACAGGGCAAACCCTTTTAATCCTAGCTAGCACTCAGAAGACAGAGGCAGGCAGATCTGGATCTGAGTTTGAGGACAGTCAGGGCTAGACAGAGTTCCAGAACACCCAGGGCTACATAGAAAAACCCTGCCTCAAAACCAACAGGACAAGGACAGCAGGTGTGGTGTTTCACTCTTTTTAATCCCAGGCCCGAGGAAGCAGAGGCAACTCAATTTCACTGAGTATTGGCCAGTTAGAATTACATGAGGTCCTGTCTCAAAAATAAAAATCCAACCACCACAGGGCACATAAGCTTAGACACTGACCATGTTTTGGTACTATTGGGTGCTGTGTAACATGTCTTCCATCCTAGCCACTCAAGAGGTAGAGGCAGAAAGATGAGTAGTTTGAGGCTAGCAGCCCAAGCAACTTAGTTAAATTCTGTCTTAAAAAAAAAAAAAAAGAAGAAAAGAAAAGAACAATGCCAGGGAGAGGAGCCGGGAGAGTGATCAAGTGGTAAAGTGCTGGGCACTGGTGGCAGATGCCGGAGGCAGAGTTCAATGCCAGTGTGGCTACAGAGGCAGGGACACAGAGAAGCTTGAAAAACCAAAAACCCAAAAAGCTGGGTGGTGATGTTCGTTTGAGTACTAGCACCAAGGACAGAAACCCAGTCTAGCTCAATTAATGAGCTCCAGATCCAGTAAAGACTCAAAAAAACTAAGGTAAATGATTGAGAAAGACACCCAAGGATGACATACACAATACACTCACCGGTGAGTCCTATCTGTCAGATAAGTGGTCTTTGGGTTCAATCCCAAATTTGGGACAGGGTGAGAAACTGGCTGATAATATAAACACTCCATGGATGTGGAGCACTAGCTGTTGCTGCATAGTTATATAACCTCATTGGGTTCTCTAACTCCTAAACCTTCCTCTAAGTCCAGCAGATCCAGCTTTGCACATGAAGCCTTTCCTATTATTCCAATAGCTCCTATTACCTCAAACACCACTACACAGGACTTTCTATTTATTACCCTCACCTTTCTCCCTTCCTAAGTAAGCCATGTTTAGATACTGTCATTTGAAATACTCTTACCTGTTCGGGGACAGAACCATATACAGTAGATTTCAACTATATAAGCTGTGACTATAAAAGCAGTGACAAAGCTGGAAAGAACACATTTCTCAGCCAGGCACTGGTGGCGCAGGCCTTTAATCCCAGCACTCAGGAGGCAAATGCAGGCAGATCTCTGAGTTCCAGGCCAGCCTGGTCTACAGAGCCCAGGACAGGCTCCAAAACAGAGAAACCAAAAAGAAAGAACACATTCTCAAAGACTACTCACTTCAGGAGCACTTCTTATGCATCAGTGAAAGAGAATGAAGTATTAACTCACGATGCTGGAGAGGCCTAACATCTGGCTGAAGAATGCAACAGAAACAGGTTACGATGGACCATACCTGCGGAATCGCGGTCTGTAACCCCGATACATATTCTGTCTCACTGGTCTACCTTGCTCTCCTGCACCCTGGTTGTCAGCACCCTGAAAAGACATCAGAAGACATTAGAAATTAAAGTCTATTGGGTCCACAACAAGAACAAAATCCCAATCTGAAGTTCAAACCAGAAAACACTTTCCTGGCCAAATTCCAATTCCTGAGTACAAGATATCTAATAATTATGATCACACCATACATTAACAAGCTTGGTGGTTTCTTCATAATCAAAAGTGCATTCTGTGGTAACAGGTTAATTTAGGGGAAAATTTCCACGATTAAGTTAAAATAGTCTTTCTCAAAGGCTGTTATAAGGAGTATGTATGGTTGGTGCTCACTCAGCACTAGCCCTGAGACAGCAAAAATGCTGTTGCATACATACTGGCACTTACCTCCATCACTTCTCCTTGCACAGGAGGGTTGGAATACTGTGGTCGACGCCCATAGGGTCTCCGCATGTAGTAAGGTGGGAACCTTCGCCTACGATAGGGCCGGCGTTGTTGGGCTTGCCCTTCAGGAGCGCTTTCCGATCCCTCGTTCTTTTCCCCACTCTCACTATTCTGGTAATTTTGCTGGTAATTGCGTGGAGGACCCCTACGACGTGGATAGCGTCTATAATGGTTACGGTCTGCTGCGTATTTACTGCCTTGAACTGGAACTCCACCAGGGCCTGTAACATTTGCTGCCTCCGCACCCTACAAAAGCCATTATTTATTGACAATAACAAAAGAAATCCAAATATTCAATAAATTTCACTCAAGCTGGGGAGGGGGAAAAAAAAACAAAACAAAAAACCCAAGAGCAAACAAAAAAACGAGGGAGGCTGTCTGCATGGGAAAGGGTGCATAGGAATGACTGCGTCATCAGCTCCTCACTCTTCTGAAGGGACTGTTCTCTAACTGCAGCAGCACGTTAGGCTTGATGCACCTGTGTTCATGTGGTCACCAGAACACATCATCCATCCAATTAGAGCCACCATCCTAATGGATGAAATCTCCAAATTATTTCCATACCGAAGTCAAACCTTTACACAAAAAGCATCCTCACCTTTTCTCCTTCAACAACATCAAACTCCACAGTCTCTCCATCTCCTACACTGCGAAGGTACTTCCTGGGGTTATTCTTCTTTATGGCAGTCTAGTAACATCATTCCAAAAATAGATTAACAGGGGAGAAGAATGTGCTTTTTTCATTTAAAATGTACCAGCGTCAATATCATTTTTAGCTTGGATATATACTTAAAATTTGCTTTATGTAAGACCAAACTGTCAATAATTTAGGAAAGCAGGGACCAATGTTACCTTACCCCCAACCTCTACCAAGAGACTCCAATCTTACAAGGCCCCAGCATTTTACCACTATTTACAAAACTAAGTAATTTAGTACCCAAGACAGACAACAATGTGTTTTAATATACTTTTTGCAAAAGCATCACATATAAAGCTTGGAACAAAATAAGGCCTCCATCTATCCCCCAAAGACTGCACTTAATAGAAGCTAGCCCGACACACGGCCAGTTTAGATGACAGGCAAGTTTAGTTTTACATGCTTCAACTTTGACCATACCAACTCTTGTCCCTTTACCATATCAAACTCAATTACAAATGTCAAGCAAAATCCCTTCCAGCCTGTCTATAATGACTACTTCCAGGGAAATGCATTTCACATGTATCTATGCCACTCGTATATATCTCTCTCTGTAAGAGACCTGTTGGTTACCACCTCCCCAGAAAACAGTTAAGTCTTACATTATATAGGGCTTAAAAATTATGAAGTGCCAAAGGTCACACAGCTATTAAGTGGCAGGGAACTTTTCTAAATCCAGGTCTTAGGACTCCAAATCCCAAGTTCATTCCACATCACAGCAGTATCCGTTACAGGATCACTCATGCATTTCTATTCCAGAGGAGGCCGGACAACCAACAAATCTGAGGCCAATTAAGATCCGGTGCCCAGAACTGCAGTCTACTTGATACACCACCACAACCTCGTAGCCAAAGTCCCAAGAACAACTCTATGTTGATACCACTTGCAAAATAAATAGGAAAGCATATTGGTGACACCTTATGGGATAAGACTGGGTGAGTTGAGTCAAATAAATGATCTCATCTGTCATCTGAACTGTCGTATAGTTTCATACCTTTCATATGTAGCCAACTCAATTATTTGCAGTCATAGGGATAGTAGAAGTATGCATTAAAATCCCCAAACATGTTAGTCACCATCTTTAGCCCCTTCCAATCTCTCATGGCTATCAGTGGCAGCAAGACTAATAACCCTTGCTGTTTCTTGTCTGTTAAATCTTCATTTTATTTCCAACTTGTAGTAAGTACAGGTAAGAGTCACCTTACCCAAACAAGCATTTTAATTTAATCTTTGCTAGGTCTTTTGGTCTCCCCCCAATTAAAAAAAAAAAGAAATAAAGGGGGGAAAAAAAGGTTGAAAATTCTTAAAATAACTTTCAACACAAGTGGATATTTCAACAAGTTGATCACGTGGAAGCACACAGGAAGTGAAGTATTCCCTAATCCACTTCACTGTGTGAAGATGCTGGCAGTATACCACTCAATTGGCAGCATCTTACCTTACCAATAATCCCTCCCCACCCCCCAGACAAGAGTTTCTCTGTGTAGCCCTGGCTGTCCTCAAACTCAGATATCTTCCTGCTCTGCCTCTCTAGTGCTGGGACTAAAGGTGTGCACCACCACCCAGCAGTTACCAATAATTCTTAACTTAATGTCCAGTCATTTCCCTAGTCAGTATGTACTTCTATCTCCTCCAAACACTGGCAGCCAATTAAAGTAATTTACGGACCAATCACAACTCTTGCAGTGCCTTTCACATGAGTTAAATTACTAGTGAGGATTTATTTTTCCAGTCAACTCTAAAGGTGAAAACAGAAAGTCTAGTCAGTGCTGGCTCCCTATTTTCTTCATGTAATGGTTTTGTAGCTTTGTCCCATAAAGATTTGTCCTTACCAAAGCGAACCTGACTCTAACAGCATCTGGCAATACCTTGCCAATGTTTCCGTGTATTTATAGCACATTATTCAAGGTTAAATTCATGGTGGTTATTTGTCTGAAACTAGGCATGAAAACTGTGTGCCATCAGTTGAACAGATTCAACATTTTAAATTTATTAATGAAACTCCAAATCTAACACTTTTAAATTAAGTGGACTCTTCAGTGCAATGTTTCACTCTACACTAAATCTTCAGGTTCAGGAACTAAATAAACTCACTCTTGAACTTAACCTTTAGAGCCAAAACAGTTGAGAACACACCCATCCTTTCTTTTCTTCTCTTAAGCCTTGAGCCAGAAGTAAAGAGAATCAATAAAAGCACTCACCTGGTGTACAAATACGTCTTCCTTGGTGTCATTCCTACAACACAAAACCAAGAAAAAAACCAAGTGAAAAAACAATTATGTTTCATTGCCTACAACTGATTAAGAATAACCTGGCCTAGAAAGCAAATTCCAGGCCAGTCAGGTTACATAGAGCAACCTGAAAACCCCAAAGAACTGCCTGGTGAGTGGACAGCCTCAATTTTCCCAGAGATTTCCTAGCTGTTTAAGCAGAAAATCATTTCTATCTTTTAACTTTGAGCGTGGGTGATTGACTACCAGCTATACCTTCACTATCTCTGTGTGTGTGTGTGTGTGTGTATACAGTAAAAACACAAGCTACACCAACTACTTTAAAGACTAAACTTTGGGAAACAGTGATAAGCCCACTCACTTCTTGTAAGGAAAGCAAACAAGTCTAAGAAGGTGTAACCAAATGAGCCATAATTCAAAAGGACAGCAATGACAAGAAACTCTACCTTATTAAACATTAACAATAACCTGCCCACACCCCTTTCCCTATAGACCAGTAGTACTAGCTGGAGTAGTCATTCTCACTTCCTCACAATTCTAATCTCCAAATTCCCTAAGGCAATAAAAATGACCACATAAAGTCCTCTAGAAAACAGAATGAAATTTCATGTAAACTATGTACACCTTATTTATGTGCCTAACACTGTTCCCCCCCCCATCACAGACATCACAATCCTTAGCCAAGCTTTCTTTTGACAGCTTGCACTGTGACAATTCTGCCTCAGTTTCCACAGCCCTGGTTGGGATCATTACCAAGAAAACAAAGTCTTTCATTAGAAGAATGTGGTGTGATTATTGCAGAAAATGCAGTGAAACATCTGAATAAGCAAAGCCCAGCAAGTTAGGTCAAAGTTGAGACAGGAACTGACAAAGTCTTAGACTAAACAACCATCCAATGAAGATATTTAGGCTATCTTTCTTGGGACCAAAATGGAGGAAACCAAGAGTAAATGGAAACTGGAAGTGAGGATTAAGTGGGGAATCATTTGTATTTTGAATGTGGGCAGGGGTGACCAACATCAGGACCCCAAAGAACCACTGGAGGAACAGATTTCCTTGTTAGTGACCCTCTTCACTACTAGGAAGCCAGAGAAATGGTTCAGTATTAGTTCTAATATTAGCATTTAATGACCAAAAGACACCACTGGCACACTGGTAAAAAGCAAAAAGGTTTTTCTCAATTGCTGTACTACCTCATCCAACCTAGCCATTTATTGTTTTAATATCCTTTACTTAAACTGATGGTGCCAATAAGATGGTTCAGCATGTAAAGGTGCTTACTGAAAATATGAGTTAGACCATGTGGGTTTGATCTAGAACCCATTTACAGATAATTAGATAATTCCTGCAACTTGTCCTCTGACCTCCAAATGTTCCCAATTCCCCCCAAAATAAATGCAGTAAAATGAATGAGCTGGGCATGATGTTGCAAACCTTTAATCCCAATACTGGAGAGGCAGAGAGGAAGACAGATTTCTGGGTTTCAGGACAGCCAGGGCTATAAAGAGACCCTGTCTCAAAATTCAGTATTTTAAATTCAATGAAAAGAAAATTTCCAAAGGGTATTTTTTTTTTGTTAATGATCAACAGTTATCCATGAACTTACTTCTGGGTTATAAAATGTTATTTATCTAGCTTTTAAAATTGGATAATGCTAGCAATAAGGCAATACTATTCCCTAAGAAATACTTCGTAGATACACATAGAAAGGCCTGTCTCAGCAGCTGTCTTGTAACTAGACTAGATTGAGGAATATATCAAAGTGTATGTAGATGTCAGGAAGGAACTTGATTCCTATGTGTTTGAAAACTTTTATTAAATGTCCTGTAGCTGCTGGGCAGTGGTGGCGCACACCTTTAAACCCAGCACTTGAGAGGTAGAGGCAAGTGGAACTTTAAGTTCTAAACTACCCTGGTTTACAGGAGTTCCAGGACAGCTAAGGCTGTTACATGGAGAATCCCTGTCTCAAAAACAGCCCCCCCCCCCAAAGTCCTGTAGCCTTGGAAAGCAAAGCTATCCCCTTACTTTTTGTTTTCTTCTCTACCTGCAAGAAGATCAATACTGTAGGAGCTACAGAGTTGGCCCAGTGATTAAGCGAACTTGCTCTTCTCAAAGTCAGGTTTGGATCCCAACTCCTACAACTACCTGCCACTCCAGTTTCAGAAGACTCAATGTCCTCTTATGGTATCTGTGGTACACATATAGATAGCAGCCTGGATCACTGAAGATTACACTAGGTGTTTGGAACATACCATTTATCCCCACAATTCTGACATAGGTAGCGTCATTAACCCCTACCATCTTCACAAAGGAACTGAAATACAACCTGTGGCTGTTTATTCATAGTGTTGACTACCAACTTCTTGGGGGCTCCGGTATCCACACATAGGAATTAAAAGAAAAAAAAAATCCTTACAGTGTACCTTAAAATAATAATAAAAATATCTATATGCTAGGTGTTCAGGTGGGGTGGGGGCTACAAATGGGTGTCTGATCTCACTGACACTGGAGTCCTACGAAAGAGGATCAAGTGCTTGTAAACACTGAGCCATCTTTTCAGCTCACATTTTACCTTTAGAGGAAGATTAAAACACAAGAATCCCTATATGCTTTCCTGATGTAGGTCAGAAGGAAAACAAACACAGCTTCCTCCTTTCATTACCATGTTTCACACACTACAGCAATATGCTAAATATTTATTAAGCCCCTAAAACATTCACTGGCTATGCCTATCATTCAAACCCTAGCTAGCTCTCTACAATTACTATTTCATTTCTACTTAATCTACCCAGACCAACAAGGTTCCCAAAGTTAAAACAAAAAACCCCCAACCCAAAGAGACATAAATAAGACCTAAGATAAGTTCATTAACAAAATGATCAACATACTAATAGAACCACTACCATAGTTTGCACCAAGCCTTAAGGCTTGCCCTAAAATCACAAATCCCACTTAATTCCTTACTAACTCTCTAGGCAGACATATCTTTTCCAGGTGTGACCACAGATGCTTCCAAGGATCTAGACAGGCCTGAAGGCCACCTAACTCCACAACTACAGTCTCAGGATAAGGAAGCTTAAGGGTAAGATACATGCTGCTCCTTCTGGGGAATTAAGAGCAAATGACTTTACTTGGCAGAAAAAGGGAAAGAACCACTACAAGATAAGGATTCTGTTCTGAGCTCTTAAGTCAGTCACCGATCGAAGAGACTCCCATCATCAGTAATTAATACGGTAACAGGTAAGCAGTTGCTCACTCTTCAAGTCTTGTGTGCAAGCCAAGAGTCACAGTATTGTCAACTTCTTGCATGTCCCTTTCTTAAACACTGTCAAGGAATCCTCAGACTTTCTTGTGCAATACTTATTCTAGTGGATACACATTAAGACACTTCTGAGACAGAAACCAGGGTGACTTTAAAAGCCTAAGAGGGGCTGGAGAGATGGCTCAGAGGTTAGGAGCATTGACTGTTCTCTTCCAGGGGTCCTGAGTTCAATTCCCAGCAACCACATGGTGGCTCACAACCATCTGTAATGAGATCTGGTGCCCTCTTCTGGCGTGCAAGCATATATGGAGGCAGAATATTGTATACATAATAAATCTTTAAAAAATAAAAATAAAAAATAAAAGCCCAAGAGATTTTGGCCAAAATCTTTCCAACCTACCATATTTTCATTTTTACCAAGAACACTGTGTTAAAGTACTGCAGACTTTGCAGTATTGAAATATATAATTATATACTCAGCTAACTAACTTTTTTGAAAACACATTACTACCATCAATATTTATGTTCTTGGTCTTTTCTTCTTGCCTTTACATGGAGACATGGAAAGTTACTTAACCTGAAAGTGGACTCTATAGCAATGCCACCACTGAGCAACCAAAACTTCATTTTTCCCTCAGTGAAACTCAAACCATCACCAGCCCTGTTGATGAGCTGGACCCCAATCCCTAGCTTCTCCAGAATTCCCTTTGTACTTGAAGCACCTAAAAGGGTTAGCCTTCATGGCTGTGGCCAAGGATTTCTTGTATTGTGCCACTTTTGGTCTTGGCAGTGACTACAGAGCTTCCTTACGGTATGAAGACCAAGACACACTTGCCCATCCTGCCAGAGCGACATCCCAGCTAAGTAGTAAAAAAGCAGCCTTTACAAAAAAGTAAAACCAGACGTGTGGTGGGGGCCTTTAATCCTAGAGGCAAGCTGGGGGTTGGTGGCACACGTTTTTAATTCCAGCACTCAGGAGGCAGAGACAGGCTGATCTCTCTGAGTTCCAGGCCAACCTCCAAAGCAAGAGAGAAACCCTGTTTGGAAAAAAAGGTTCCTAGAGGCAGACAGGCACTTCCCCGATCAAGGCAATTCAAAGGAGCAGCTTCTCCCTTCCCAGGTAACTCTGGGTTGTGTCAAGTATACAAAAAAGAAAATGAAAAAACTAACCAGGACAGGTAGGCAGAGTGGGGCACGCCTTTTAATTCCAGCACTTGGGAGGCAGAAGCAAGGCAGATCTGAGTTCCAGGCCAGCCTTGTCAACAGCATGAGTTAGTTCCAAGACAAACAAGGATACACAAAGAAACCACATCTCAAAAACCAACCAATAAAGGATGATACCACCAGGTCTGCTTGGGACAACACTCAACTGCATCAATCTCAGTATGACATGAATCAAGTTCTTCAATTTGTAAAGCTGACTTGTACACTAAACTGGAATTTATGAAATATAGTAAAAGGCAATCCATAATACCAGAGGACTAGCCAGCAAATAAAAACTCCACTGTAGATCATGTATGAAGTCTTCAATGTCTAAGAATGTGGACAAGTTCTAACTGAAAATGGCCAGGATCCATTTTCACAGATAGTATAAAAGCAGTTGTTGAACAAATACTCCAGAGCACAAAACTAAGTTCAAATCTTGCTTCTATTACTTCCTGTTTATGGGACAAATCACAAAACCCATGTTTCTGAAACAGTGCTTAAGTATCAAAGGCTCAATTAAAAACCCCAAAAGAAAGGACCCCCGAAGGAAGACTAACATTGACAGTTTTGGTTTGTTTTTTTTTAAGACATGGTTTCTCTGTGTAACTTTTATTGAAGCCTGTCCTGGAACTCAGATATCTGCCTGCCTCTGCCTCCCTGAGTAATGGGATTATAGGTGTGCACCACCATCCCACTCCCCCAGCATTAAGTTTTATAGTACAGACGTAAAACTAAGTTTTCTAGACCACAGGTTAAAAAGGCCTGTGTACGTACATAGGGCAGGCATAAATGGCAATGAGCAATGTAAGAATATAAAACAGTCTGGGCCAAGGAGATTGCTCAGCTGAAAAGTGCTTGCAGTGAAAGCTTGACAACCCTGAACCCCTGTAGAAGTCAGATGCAGCTGTCTTCTGACCTGCATACAAGTGTTGCAGCATAGGCATTACCTCATATACGAACACGTACAGGCTTTAATAGATGGTGGTCGAAAGGAAAAAAAGTGATGTAAAAGTTGAGATCATGAGCAGAACTTCCATTCCTGTCTGGTGCTCTGAATTTTTAAGTTCTATCACTTGAGCCACAGCCCAACCCCTAAACTCTGTCACCAAGAGTTCCAGGGCTATGGACCACTCTCTACAATTAATAATAATATTAACTTGGGGAAGGATTCAAAAAAAAAAGTTGTATGACCCAGCTGGGCAACATGGTATATATAGGCCCAATTCCTAGACTATGATGTTTCTAACAGACTAAATTCTGCTACTTTAAAAGCTCTGGTTCTGCCTGAGTGTCAGGATTTTTTGGGTTTTTTTTTTTTTTCGAGGGTTTCTCTGTGTAGCTTTGGAGCCTATCCTGGCACTTGCTCTGGAGACCAGGCTGGCCCCGAACTCACAGATATCGCCTGCCTCTGCCTGGGATTAAAGGTGTGCACCTCCACGCCTTTAATTTAAAAAAAAAAAAAAAAAAAAAAACCTTTTTCAAAAGGAGGTGGTGCAAGGTTCTTCAGGTGTAATCCAGGATGGCCTTATACTCAAGTAGCAGCAGAGCATGACTCCTGATGTACTGCCTTCTGGGATTACATGCATGTTATCACTGTCTTTACATCCCAAGCTTTTTAATTTGAAAATTTTACAATAAAATAATCTGCATTTTGCTGGGCGTTGGTGGCCTTTAATCCCAGCACTTGGGAGGCAGAGACAGGCGGATCTCTGAAAAAATAAATAATCTGCATTTGAAAATGTCTTGGAACAAACAATTTGACCAAGTTTTAAGAATGCATCACAGGTAATAATTTAGACTTCAATGAACCTATCTTTAAAGGTGAGATGAACTCTTATATTTGAATTATAAAACAGCTGAAGGTCCTAGAATACAGGGCCTGGTGTTAGTGGCGCACGCCTTTAATCCCAGCACTGGGGAGGCAGAGGCAGAGGCAGGTGGATCTCTGAGTTTGAGGCCAGCTGGTTCCAGGACAGGCTCCAAAGCAACAGAGAAACCCTGTCTCAAAAAACAAACAATCCTAGAATATACAACTCAGAATTCACAGTGCATTCCAAATACCTATCTCCCATTTTACATTCTATACTGTTTAAGTAGGACAAACCTCTAGTTCACTGAAACCAAACCTCAACAGTTATTATCTCATTTAAAAACCAATGCGTCAATATAATGGTCTGCTTAGAAACAAGCACATTTTAAACAATTAAATCAGTAATTGGGGTTAAGATATTCTAACAAAGGATCATCATAAGCTAATTACATTTAAGTTGCCCAGAAAAATGATCAACTAAGCTACTAAGGACAGTCTATTGTAATCTACACAATTGCACAACATAGAACAGTATACAAATCTTGGAAAAAAACTGCTTAAAGGAAAGTGATAAGCCTAGCCAAACGCTAAAATTTATTAAATGCATACCAAAAAACCCCACAGCTAACCCAACTAGAAATGTGGCCAAAGAGGACTAGTTAACAGCACTGGGCTAAGGGTTCTAAAACTGTCCTTTGGAAGGTAGGGTATACAGACTAGTCTCAGCATCCTCTGGGACTGTTAGGATAGAAATCTCAACCAAAGCACCGACAATGACCAGTTTAAAGCCACCAGGTAACTAACCCTATACAAGCAGCAAAATATTATATTTCCCTCTTTGCTCACTAGTAACCCATGGGGGGGGGTAACATGGAAAATGTAGCATTCCTCAGGAAAGCGAACAGCCTACCACAGTAGAAAATCCTAGTCTGGAAAAACAAAATGTTTCCCTGTAATTGCTACTATAGAGAACAGACCATTAAGTGATTGTAATCGCTTCTGTTTGAGTGTTTCCACAACACGGCGTGGTTCAATGAACGGTTTTTCATCACTCCGTTATTTTAAAAGACTAGCTGCCAATTTGATAGTGTCCACTTCACAAGCACTCAGTCACTCTTAAGCGTCTTTCCCACCATCTACTTATTTAACGCCTTCTAAGCAAGCATGTAAGAGAGAAAATGCTGAAATGGCGCCAAGTCTCACAGCTGTACGGCCAGGATTGCTGCTGGCACTCGCGGTGCTCTACACCCATGCAACTGCACTAGCCTTGGCAGCCATCTTGAAAAAGATGCCGGGCTCACAAGGGAGCCCAGAGTGCAGCCACTGCACTCACCACCACCACCACCGGCTACAAACCATTCTAAACCATTCTCTGGATCTATGAAGATGTAGTTTGCAACTAGATTAAGGACTTAAGGCCACTCCAGTAAGCTACAGCCAAGCTTTCACAAAAATTGATTTGATCAGCCATGATTCCCGGACAAGGAAGTAGAAGAAATAAAAATTGAGGAAGAACCATTTTCTTCGGATGTATTATTTGTCGTTTTGGATAAATATGAATCGTCTTTGGCTATAGGAGTTCTATAGAAAATGTGCTCGAGGTTCTACAAGGAATGCATATTTGAGTCGACTAAACAAAGGCAACATAACCTTACAGTGCAGATAACATCTCAGGCACTTGACATGTCAAATCATGTTCCCCAAGAGGTTAACAAGGTGAAAAAAAAATCACCTGTATGTTAATTAGTGGGTCACATTCTTACATAGCAATTTCAACGAAGCAGGAAGGATGTCAAGGTTAAAAACGTGCTTAGCCTGGAGTTGCCTCAGTTTGATGCAAGGTAACTGTTAAGGCATGGTTCATGCGCCGCGCTTGCATAGACCTGCTTTGTGCCAAAGCTTTGAGGCTAGCTAGCTCAAGATTGGTATTCAACGGCAAAACAAAGCAAGCCTACAGACCCCACTAATCCCGTCACCCAAGAACAAACACCAGGTTTCCAACCCCTCTCCCTGTCAGGCCCGCGGTGGAACCGGCCCTTGAGATTACCCATGCAGGGAGGCGGGCCCGAGCTTTTCTACCCCGGCATCTCACCTGTTGATGAAACCGTATCCGTTCCTTACATTGAACCATTTTACTGTTCCCAAAACCTTCGTTGCTGGAAAACAAAGCACAACAAGGTCCAATCAGCAGCTGGCCCTGGAAGTCGGTCCAGGATCCGGCCGCAGGCCCGGGCCGCCGCCCTCACCGCACACGTGGGTGCGCTGGGCAGCGCGGGTCCGAGGTGGGTGTGCGCCCGGGAGGCGAGCACGTGAGGGCCGGGAAAAGC